ACTTCTTTCAAAAACATAGAAATAGAAAAGTCTTCCCAAGCCCAAACTTTTGAACGGTAGTGTATTTATTCTTAATATTCTTAAATATCACATTATATTACTAAATCTTTTAATGGTTCAATTAAATATTTCCCTTTCAATTAGCCTTCGGTTAGGAAACAAACAGCTTGGCACAGCATTAACTGATTAAGGGAAGCTACACTTTTGACTTTTGCATTGAGGAAGGGGGATAGAGGTCTGCACAAAACCCACATTTTGAGAGCCGGACATGGAGACATGGATGTTCATCCTCAAGAGCATCTTACTGGTTAACACTATTCAATAGCCTAATTGACATCAGGAGAAAAGAGGCAGAAGACTTTTGTGTGCACCGACGAACCACACACAATAAGTTCAGCAATGTGTATTAATAAAGCAAATGGTGTCCATTTTGATTTCATGTTGACTTGAACAAGATACAATCAATTCAGACATTTACAACATTCAAAAGACTAAAAGCGGGAGCTAATCTGGAAGTTTACTCAATGCGTCTCATGAATAATTACTGCTCAATTTCCTCACCCGGGTCAGCCATCTCAACCCTCGACAATAAGTCACCCCTTCATTAGCGCACTTTAAAAAGGTGACGAGCAAACTAATTATCTCTGGAGTGAATATCAGCTCATTAATATATGCAAAGACAAAGCCATAACACAGAAAGAAAGAAAAAACCATTCCAGTTCACTTCAAAATAAGAGTGCAGCACCGCAAACGCTTCATCAAAAATAGATTGTAACAGCGAGACCGTATGGCGCAGGTGGTTTCAAATGTCACTGACGGATGAATAAGGACAGCGAGCTGACAAAATGTACATTATTCAAGCGTTTAACATCAGCAAACTCCACAGCGCTGAGCTTGAAGTTCACCGGCATCACTTTTAACCGATTCTGACACCTCCATCTAATCAATACACTCCACTTTCTTCAATAATTAAAGCAGAAAGACACTTATTTAATTTATTATTCAGATTATCCATGCTGGGTTTTGGTCCGAGTTATACGAAATAATTAGAGATTTTAATGAAAACATTT